GTGCCGAAATCTGAAAAGCTGGTGACGAAATTTTTTTCATTGCTGCGATGTATAGAAACAAAAAAAGATTAGATTTTCCATCATTCCTAGACAAACAGATAAAACTGAGGTGTAGTGTTCGACTCTCCATGGATGCTATCAAATGACTACTACTCAGCTCGCACACAGAACTTTGCTTTTCACTGTTGTTGGACTTACCTCTGATGGTCGATGCAATTCACAAAAGGGGTGCTTTAGGCCATTCGGCTCATGGAGAGGCTGTAACCCGGTAATCGGGCCGTCCGCCAACCGCAGCAGGAAGCCATCAGCTCACGTCACGTGAGCTCTCATGCATCGCGCACTGCGCATGTAAATCGCACGCGGCTGTCGGACTAGGGAATTCTATCGGCAGTAAGAAGAATGGAGAAAACAGTAGAAAAATATCTCGTTTGGAAAATGCATTCTGTATCGGTCGGTAGCATTTTTGCGGAGAACCGACCAGCGTACATCCCAAATTTATACATTAGTTTGAAAAGCACCTTTGAAGTGACGCGAATGACGCGGAGTGATGCATAGAGCACATCACGGCGGAAACGATCACCTGTAAATAGTATGGCATCTTATTCATACACACGAGTAATCGTAGTTCCCAACGGTGGGAAATTCTTCTCAGATTGCGACGTAACAGCCTTGGAAACTTGAAATATTTCACAAAACAGACTTATTGATCCCACTGAAGCCAAATAGAACCAGCACATTGCACATACCAAGATGACGCTGTTTCATTACTTCTGAGCCACCTTTTCAGATCTTAACGAGCTGACTTCTACTATATCTTCAGAGTTGAAAAAGGCTCCACTATAACAACAACTTGTAACACAAAAACGAAAAAATATGCGAAATTCTTTCGAAAAGCAAATTTTTTCGCGAAATTTCGAAGCTTTACGGTGAGTATTATTGAGGATGTAGATCTAGCAATCTCACTCGCGGAGAGTCCAGTTATAATCGCAAATATATGTTGAATCCTTAGAGCCACCTTATAAAATCGTAATCGAAACTAATTGTTTCAGCTAAATATAACTGTTCTTGAATTGGACCACGTAATGATACATATTGCCTTCAAATGGTTCGACGTAACTGATTCGGAAAATCATCATATTATTGCTGCAGACGGCGTGAAGTTCGTAGAAAATGCCTCTCGCGAAGGTTCGAAGATCGCAAAGAATGTCTATAGTTGACTATTTATTCACTCATTTAGTACTAATTCGAAGAATTGACTTTGCTTCAGTTACTGTTATCCTATGTCGGAGTGTTAAGGTAAGAAATACGATGTTGTGGTGGTCGACGCTTGCGTTTACTCTTCCTCGATTCTTTGTCCTATCAAGCCACTTCGGAGTTACAGCGAATTGAAGATTGTGAAGACTATATTGACGGCCAGTGGTAAGTTGGATTGGAATTTGTGGTGGCGAGTGTGTTAGATCGGGCTCCCTTGTTGGTATATACAGTGCGCGCTACAGTATATGGACACCCTCGAATCGACTTTCAAGGGTGAGCTAAAGACTTTTTGTGCCATGAAGCCTACACCATTCAACACTTCGTGGTCGATGACCTGTAATGGTGAGGAAAATTTCGTTCTATACTATTAGGTCGGTCCATAAGTCTTGCAACAAACTACATTTAATGCTATAGAATTTTAGGGAGAACTCCTGAAAATCCGCAACATATTTCCTGACGTAGCATCAACCTTTGCAATTTCAGCCAACGGTCCAGCTCGTTGTCTGCTTACTTGTTATGGATATTACACCGATTTCGCGAGAGGGCTCTTCGTGCCCTTAATTTTTACGAGTACTGCTTGGAATGTTCCGCAAGTCATGCTAGACCAAGGATTGGCCAGAAGATGGGCGAGGGCACGCTCTCTCAAACCACGGTGCAACGGCGCTTCACTCTGCTCAGCGTTGACTTTTTTATTTGAAAATAACCCACACTCCAACCACCCTGTGACTGACAATCACGATGCTCTATCTGACGCTGTTGAAAAGGGATCTGGATAGAGTATCGATCATTTGCTAGAGCGATTCCGATGCGACAAGGAGACAGCACTGTGGCATCTCCAAAGACTTGTGAAGATCCGAAAATGTAGAGTTTGGTCCCCACGTGCCTTGAGCCCGATTCAGCTCCAAACACGATCTGACACCGTTATGTTCAAGTCGACTTACTAGGGATTCTACGATTGACCATCCATCACATTTGCCGAAGATGAGGAGTGGGTACAGTTTACTAACAAAGACTTAT